TAAACGGTAATATTGATAAGACATTAGATACATGTTTATATATCGATATTTTCATCTACGATAGGTATCGATACGACATATCGATACATTCGGGTTGTATCACCCATCTCTATTTGCCGTCGTCTGGCCCGCGTTTCTCTCTCTCTCTCTCTCTCTCTCTCTCTCAGTTCCTCCCTCTCTCTATCCCTTTCTTTCTCTCTCGCAATATATTTTCCCCCGTAGGAATTTCCGGGCATCGATTATCTCCGATCCGAGCTCGGTGTTATTTACCTGCGTGGCACGTACGAAAAACCCGAACATTCGAGCGCGCGTGCCGTCACTCTTATTCCCTTATCACGCGTGTCTCTCAAACATCGTAACCCGTTAGATTACGTATGCGAGGCGTTGCTTAAGATAAGATTTATCGTGACAGAGCGCACGACTACCGTGCTCGCGCGAAACTCAACGCCGGCTGTACCTTCTTACCGCGTGCTATCTGCTCGGATGAAGTATCTCGATACGTGGCAACATGTGTATCCTTCTGTGTAACAGGTTCATAAATATGATTTAGTCGGCAACCTCGGGCGAAAAAGGAAACACTTCACAATGCGGAAAAGAGTGGCGAATAAGAACTGTGCCGTATTTTTCATATATTATCGGCTCATTACGACAAAGTCGTTCAGGTAGAAGTTGAACCGTGCATCATCTCCCGTTTCCCATTCCGAAGATGACGAACTTGTAAGACGCGGCGCGTGGCGGAACGCCACGTAACCAAAGGCGGTGCCGTAGCTTAAAATACGTTCGAAACGCCGAAACTTCAAGTTGCGTGCCCTCACCCCATCCAAAAGGAATTAGTATACGAATTACTTTTCAATTTCTTGTTCCTTTTCTCCTACGAGGGAGTCGTATGCGAGCAGTCGACAGCAGGGAGCCATTTGTCTTCTGGACTCCGGGCGTGCCCTTGTCAAGTGCAGGCCGAACCCGCGGTATGCGCAGGTATACGATTGAAGAGATTCTTCCACCTGCCCTCCCTTCTTTATCCACTCTTTCTCTCCTTCTCTGTCGCTCTTTCGTGTTCCGAGAAACGTACGTTCCTTTCCGCCTCGGCGACGGGAAGAGCTTCTATCAAGGTCTGCTCTGCGTCACCGGCCGTCTCGTCTTTTTTCACGGAGATTGAAAAGTATTCGCCGGCCGTAGTCGCCGTCGACACCGCTACGACGTTATCGTAATTAAATGGTTTCCCCGGAGGGATCGCGCGAGGCCAGGCAGGCAGGGAAGGCACTTTACGAAGACGCTCACCGAAAATACGCGGGAATAGAAATCTACCCCTAACGAGTCCTATTCTATACGGCCGTGAGTTCCCGCCGAGGTCGGAGAAGAGAGATGGCCTGAACACTCTCGATGATGATGACAACGACGACTATGGACGTGGAACACGCTGGCGAATTGCCGCGAAAACGAGTGCTCAAATGCTCGTTTACGAACCGCCGTATGACGGGGGGTTAATCGATAAAAAGTTGTTCTCCTGGCCACGCGACGTCGTACATCATGCTCGAAAGCGAAAACTGACAACGAAATCCCGCCCTTAACGGTAGGCGCGTACGGAGCGCGTACGATAAATCACGATGAAGAGAAAAAAAAAAAGAAAACCCGAAAGAGAGAGAGAGAGAGAGAACGCGCGAGGATCGTTTTTCTTAGCGAAACCGACGAAAGCGCCGTTCCCCGCTCGATTTTGCGCTACGATCGTTCAGATCTCACGGAATATCGCGGTCCTCTCTCTCTCTCTCTCTCTCTCTCTCTTTCTAACTCGCGAGCAGAGTAGGAATGGACGAAAACCGAGCGACGATATGCTACAATAAGCATTTCCAGCGCGAGCGCATAGCCCATCGGGCTAAATATCTTCCCCATGTAATTCCGTCGGCAGAGGTAAATGGGGAGGGGGTGGCTCATGGGAAAGACGACGATGAGAGAGAGAGAGAGGGGGAGAGAGAGAGAAAGAGAGAGGGCAGAGCCGGTGTATCGATGCGGCTTATCGGCGGCTTAGCTTCTAATGGAAGCGCGTCGACCACGCGGGCGCTAAACTGGAAGTTTACGGTGTAAAAAGGAACCTTTCAGACCCCCCAGAGGGGTCTGCACGTTTGCAACAGAGTTCCCCGCCGGCGTTTTCGGCTTTCGGGCAATGTGTCGGGTCTCGATATACCGTCGTCTCCCCCCTCCCGAGCGGGGCGCTTTCGGGTAACAGCTGAAATTGAAGCGTGTCGCGGAAAGTTAACGCGCGCGGCGGTGGCGAATGGTCACCTGATACAAAAGAAAATCGAGCAGGGCCCCTGGCGCCTGCGGTCAGGGGGTGCGGAGGCGAGGCATTGTTGCGGGATTGCGGGGAATCGGACGATCAATTGACTTTCCTAATTTCACAGCGCGCGGGCGCGCTCGCTCGCTCGGCTTTAATGTAATGTTCCGCGCGACGCGTACACGTCGTATTTGGCCTCTCTCTCTCTCTCTCTTTCTCTCTCTCGGCCTTTTCCACGCTGTCGATCTCCGCGCGACGGAGATAATTCTATTCGGCCTGGTGATTACAAAGACACGAGTCGGTCCGTCGGACGAGAGGGGGCGGGAGGACCGTCAAATTGCTCATCACTCACGTTTCCCGATGCGGGAAAGTAGAACGCGGAAATAAAATCATCGCTAAAGGCGGCTACCGTGAGATTATGGCCGAAAAAAAAATTACGCTGTTCTTACGGGAATTGCATAATTGTATATTATTGATCCTTGTTAAAACGTTTTTCACTTTGAATGGAAAAATGAGTAAAAATAGAGAAAATTAAGAAAAAAAAGTCGTGTCCGATTGTAATGTATTTTTCGTCGTCATTACGAAAGCAAATCAATAAGTACCCGTGTTAGTAATGGAGACGCAAGTTTTTCCCAAAATTTTTTTTTGCAACGTAATTCCCTTTTAGGAGGATACACACTTCCCAACGCCTCTGTCATTTTTCTAACCCCTCTGAAAAGTACGATTTATCAAACTCTGCAAAATAGACCCCTGTTTCGATTATGGCCTCATCATTCGACGTGAATCTCTTTCCACCGAGCCATTTTTTCAAGTTTGAAAACAGGAAGAAATCGCAGGGAAAAACAAGAAGAAGTCTCCAAATTCGGAGAGTACGGTGGATCCGGAGAATACAGCAGCAATTCGTAGCGCAATTCGACCAATTTGGCCGTGGCGATTGCGAAGGAGCGAGCCGGTGCATTGTCGTGGCGGAACAACACTTTTTTTTCGCCAAATGGGACCATTTTTTCTTCAATTCAACATTGAATTGGCCCAATAAATCAGTATAATACTGGCTCGTGATAATTTTTCCCTTCCCCAAATAATCGATGAAGATCACGCCTTGCACATCCCAAAAAACAGTAGCCATTACTCTTCCGGCCAATGGGACCGTGTTGGCCTTCTTCGGAGCACATCCGCCGAATGAAGTCCATTGTTTTGACTGTTCCTTGGTCTCCGGCGTGTAGTGATGGATCCATGTTTCATCAACGGTTACGACTTGACGCAAAAACTCATGCGGATTGCGCTTAAACAGCTCCAAATATTGCTTCGAAATTGATAGCCGCATCCGTTAGTTGTCCACCGTGAGTAATCGCGGCACCCGTCGGGCCGACAGCTTTTTCATTCCCAAGTTATCATGCAAAATATTGAATGCTGTTCCGTACGACACGCCTACGGCCTCTGCAACTTCGCGCACTTTCAAGCAGCTTTTTACATTTTAATCTAGTAATCTAAAAGAGAACAAGAGACAAACAAGAGCCAAAGCCTTCTGTTAGTAGATTTACCGTGGACAGTTAATTTAAGATTGCGTTCCGAATTAAATGAGGATGAACAAGTTTACATTTACAGAAAGAGCGCGAAATTATGACCATTAGATCTACAATATTTCATTATTCTATTACTCCTCTGTAGATCAGTGTAGGGAGAGGGGGGGGGATGCACGTTAATCGGACCGATCGCGACTGATTCAGAAATTGGCGCTTGCCGAGGTGGGGAAACGATCCGCCGGGTTTACGATCGCTCCCTGACGGAGACGAACCCTCGCGGACTCGATCGCTAATTGGGCGAGAATAGTTGCAAGAGCGCAAATGGTACGATTGACGGACCGTTCCGGGCGGACGGATAAACGACGCGGATTCAATGCGACTTTCCATGTGTTTCCCGGCTCGAACCATATGTTCCCTCTCGCTCGCTCGCCGACACGGGCTCGTAGCAATACCAGCCGTGCGTCAAAGATGACCTCATTCACGACCCGATCACAATAGTTCGAAATGTGTCGCCGTTTAAACGATGGGAGGGGGAGGCCGCAGGTCGCGCGCTCAATGGCGCGACCCCGGCGCGCCTCGTTAGTCTTGTCGTTTAGGAATTATATATAATTCGAACCGTTGCTATTATACGCGTAGAGCGTGCAGCGCGAGAGAACACGCCCCGCTCGGCCGCATAAAGGCCGCGGGCAACATTGATTACGAATTCTATTCGGGTTCAGTCGACAAACGACTCTTCGGTCGACCTGGTCGCGACTTTCGATTCGCTCGTTCGATTAACGGGAGCAACATTACCGTGAACGTTACAAAAGGGGAATGCAAAGGTAGGTTTTCGCGCGGGAAGGATTTCCCCTCGTCGGGCAAAACCGATGAAGACGTCGCGCTCGGGAAGATGGTGAGATTCGCGAAGGCCTAAAGCGGGGTCCACAATGAGAATTTAAGATATGTAAGGTGAGAAAGGGCTACACGTTACTGTATTTGAAACTCAATTAACTGAATATTTTCGGTTGCCATGATCGAGTTAATTTCTTCCGTGTAGCTCACACAACTGAAACATTTGTTCGCCTATATTCAAACGAGAATTTTGTTCGAGCGAAATAAACGAGTTTCTCGATGTGGTTGTCACACTGTTGCTACATTTTCCCCTTCCGCCTAAAAGCAACACACTAACGATAATAAAGAAGAAGACGTTTCCTCTCACGTGGGCTCACCTAAAGAACGGCAGCTCTACGTCCATTGATGGTGGGCCGGGGGAGGCGGCGGCGGCGGCGGCAGCGGCAGGGGCCTCTCGAGAACGGGCAACGGGGACACCTCCGGCATGGCGAACCTGAGCTTCTGCCAGAACAGCTTGTCCCCCCAAACGAGCACGGTGTGCGACGAGATCCGTTTCTTGAGATCGGCGTCGAGATCGCGCGGGCACACACCGCCCACCAACAGCAGGATCACCGAGCGGCCTCTGCCCTTGAGAGCGTCCCTCAGGGCGGCCTTGAACTCGAACCTCGCCCACTCGCCGTGCAGAAAGTTCTTGGAGAGTACGAGGATGGTGCGTCTGGAGGAGTCAGCGGCCTCGGCGACCGCGTCGGCGACGTTGCCGCCGGCCCCGAGATCCCGATAATGCAGGCACAGCCGGTAGGAGTTCTCGAGGCTGGGCACGAGGATCGCGGAGACGAAGGCCTCGTCCACCGCCGAGTACGAGATGTAGGCGTCGAACGGCTTCTCCTGGTCCTCGAACGCGGCGGTCTTGTAGCAGGCGCGCAAGCCGCAACGGCTGGCCGCCCAGGTTCTCAGGGCGCGACGGTGTCGGAAGGCGCCGCACACCAGGGCGACCGTAGCGAATATCAGCACCGCGGTGGCGAGCAGCAGCAGCAGATAGGCTTCGAGGGGGCGCGTCTCCACGGCGGAGGTCGTGCCGGTTAACGCGGCGCAATTCACCACGACCGATCCGTTCGCCGGCAGGGTGATCGGCACGCCGAGGGAACAGGTGACGCTGCGCCAGTCATTGATCTTCGGTCGGTTGCGGGACATCCACTCGCGCGCCCGGTCGAGGTACGAGCACTCGCAGCTCCACGGGTTGCTCGAGAGGCCGATATCGACGAGATAGGGGTTCTGCGCGAGCTGCCAGAGGGCGAAAGTGCCCAGTCGATTGTTCTCCATGCGGAGAACCTCGAGCTGCCGCAGCGGCAGGAACGTGCCGTTGTCGATGTAAGCCAGCAGGTTGTTCTGCAAGTAGAGTTCCTTCAAGTTCTCCAGCGGCATCAGCTCGACGCCGTTCAGCACGCTGATCTTGTTGTTCTCCAGATGGAGCACCAGCAGCCGCTTCAGCCCGCTGAACGTGTGATTGCGTATCGCGATGATGTTGCTGTCGTTCGCGTAGAGAATACGCAGATTCTTCCGGCCGATGAACGAGTGGGAGTTGAGCTCGCCGAAATTGTTGCCGTCCAGGTAGACCTCGGTGGCGTCCATCGGCAATCGGCCCGGCAGGCTCTTGTAGCCGGAGCTCGAGCAGTCGACCACGTTCGCCGACCAGGACTGGTCGTGGTAGCAGGTGCAATTCGCCGGACACGTCATCTCGCAGTCGCACGCGTCGAAGTCGCAGCAGTGGCAGAGGGCGAAGCAGTGGGCCTTGTAGGTGCAGAGGAACTGGGCGGGCTTGGCCTCGAGCAGCGGTATGAAGGACCTGTGACGGTCGTACGGCAGCCGGCAGTAGACCGACTCGAGGTCCATCACCCGCGGATGCTGACGCAGCGTGAGCGAATTGATCCTCTGCAGCCACTCGGTCGTGCAGTCGCATATGAAGGGGTTACCGCCGATGTAGAACTCCGGCAGCTGTCGGCCGGCCGGCACCTGTGCCAACTGCAACGCCGACAGGTTCATCCTGACGATCATGTTCGCGTAGAGATCGACCCGGGTGAGATTCGCCTTGGCGAAGAAAGTCTGCGGCTCGACGGAGTGTATGAGGTTGTCGTTTACGAACAGCAGCTCGATCGAATCCGGGATCGCGCGCGAGTGTATCCGCGTGAGCCGGTTGAACGACGCGTCGAGCGTCTGCAGCCGCATCGCCCGGGGCGCAACGCCGAGCTCGGCGATCGCGTTCTTGTGCAGGTCCATCCATTGCAATTTCTCGGGCAGGTAGCTGTAATTGAACTGGCCGATCATGTTGTCGGACATGTTCAGCCAGAGGAGGTCGGGCGTGCTCGCGAAGATGCTCGACATGTCCTGCAACAGATTCGAGTCGAGTCGTATCGCCTGCAGCGACGGATTCGCGGCGAACGCGCCGTCCTCGACGTATTCGATACGGTTACGCGCGAGATTCAGTATCTGCAGGGCCGGCAGTTCCGCCAGGTCCTCCTGCGTGACGTTGCTGATCTCGTTGCCCATCATACGCAGCCCGTAGAGGCTGGACATGCCGCGGAAGCCGGGTCTGCCCAGACTCCTGATCTGATTCTCGCCGAGATCGAGAGTGCGCAGTATCCTCATGTCCTTCAGCGCGACCGGCACACTGTCGAGATTGTTGCCGGACAGGTTTAGGTCCTGCATGCTCGAGCAATTGCGAAAAGCGTCCGGGTGAATACCCTCGAGCAGGTTCGAGTCCAGCGCGAGCAACGACAGCGCGAACAGCCCGTTGAGGGAGTACGCGTCCAGGTAAGTCAGCCGATTGTGCGCGAGCTCGAGGGTGTGCAGATTGCTCATCGGCGAGAACGTGTCGGCCGGTATCGTCTCGATCTCGTTGAACTGCAGATTCAGAATCTGCAACGTGTAGAGGTCCTTGAAGAGCGCCGGGTCCAGCCTGCCGATGCGATTGTGAGAGAGGTCGAACAGCACCAGCCGTATCAGCCCGGAAAACGTCGCCGAGTTCATCCACTGGCTGGTAAGGACGTTGTGCGACAGGTCGAGGGTGACCAGTTGATTCATGTCGGCCACCAGACCGGGCGACAGCACGCTGATGGAATTGTTCTCAAGTCGCAGCTCCTTCAGCGACTTGGCGGCGTCGCGGAACATTTCCGTCGGCAGCGCGACAATCCGATTGCCCGACAGGTCGAGGCTCTCCAAAGACCTCAACCCGCGCAGCGCCTCGTCGGCCACCATGGAGATCGCGTTGCTGGATAAATTCAACACCCGCAGACGCTTCAGCGAGGAGAAACCGTAGCTCGACAGTACCGAGATCTGATTGTTCGACACATCCAACGACTGCACGTCCAGGGAGCACGAGAGCGGCGCCGACGTTGATTCCTGTTGACGTCGCGACGGTGGTTTCTCACCAACGCCGCCGCCGTCGTCGCGGAAACCGAGCTCGGAGATGTCCTTGAGCGTATTCCACGAGATATTGAGAGTCACCAGGTTGGACAACGGGCAGAACAGCCGGTCCGGAATCTGCCAAATGTTGTTCCAAGACAGATCGAGCTTCTCAATCTGCGGTGTGCCGTCGAACGCGCCGCTCTCCAGCTCCAGGCTGTACTTGGTCCTGTGTCCGTTCAGCGTCCGCACCGTCAGATTGCGCAGGTCGCGCAGACCGCTCAGCAATTTGGCCGGCCAGTGCGTCAGCTTGCAGCCGGTCAGCCTGAGCGAGCGCAGCCGCCACAGGTAGAGGAAACCGTCGACGCTGAGGAGCCCGTCGAGATCGGAGTCCTCGCACACGACGTTGATCGCTGTCACGTACTCGCTGGTCGCCTGCGAGAAGTTCGTTCGCAGCGAGTCGTTGCGAGCGGCGTGCAGGCAGGTGAGCGCCCCATCCTGCCGCGAGTCCCACGAGCAATGCTCCGGCAGGTCCAGGCGCGGCGGCAGCTCGCTCGTCACGGCGAGCACGTGGTGCTGTCGGTGCACCAGCAGGCAGTAACAGGCGGCCGAGAACAGCAGCAGCAACGATCTCCCGGGGCCTTCGACGAGCCCACGCATCTTTAGCGAACTCGTTGCTTGCGCTCGGTACCGCTTGCTCTCCTGACCATCACACCACCGACCGACCGCCTCTTCTTCTTTCTCCTTCCGTCGGCCCCACTTCGCACAGGATTCACTCGGACCGAAGTCCACTTCAAGTCCGAAATCGACTTCCCGCTGAGAGAACCGACGACGCCCGTGCTCAGTCGGTTCGTGCTGAATCTCTGAGAGAGAAGTTAACCGCGCCGACCGTCGCGCGTTCGTTGCACCACCACCACCACCACGCGCGCGTTGCCTCAATTAATCCGTCGAAATTGTTTACACTCTGGAATCGCGCACTGCAGGTTTAACCGGTGAACGATGGCGTCCGCTCTTCCTCTCACGAAGCGGTATCTTCCCTTTCGTCGTTTTGTACCGCGACCAACAACCGATCCTCTGTCCGCCGCCGCGATCACCCCCGCCGAACTAGTCCCGAACTCGGCACCCGATGACTCTCACAGACTCCGCTGGACGAGAGATGGGCATCGATCCTGTCGGCCTGTATCAGAATGTCATCCGCTTAGGGTGACTCCGCGTCCCGCTACGGCATCCCGCATACTTCCGTGCAGGCTACTTATTACGCGCTGTTGCCGCGGCCCCACATCGGCGTCTCGTGCGTACTTGCCGATCCGCGACGCGGAGTGATCTGCCATCACAAGATCCCGCGCATTTCACACTGTTTCTCCGCCGGCGGTGCGGTCGAGCGCCCCCTCGGACCCCCGATCGTGGCCCATCGAGGAGAGATAAACGAAATGCGCGAAGCTCTCCGCCCGGGAAGCCGGACGATTCTGGACGGAAGAGGCACGAAATAGGCGAGCGAGTCTCTCACGAGTTGGAAGACGCGCGACAGACTACTACTGGCACAGAGACGGAGTGAGAGAGAGAGAGATCGCCTGCGTAAACGACGACGGTAGGAGAGCGGCGCAGCGCTCGGAACGACGGCCACCGCACGACTGACGAGCGAGATCTCGGCATCTAACTCGACGCAGCGTCCGCCAATCGTTCCTACCCCCACCTCGCCGGTGGCGGCGGCGCACTCACCCACACGTGCACGCACACAGCTGCGAGCGGCAGCCGAGCGAGCACGCGCCTACCTCGCAGGACCTTTCGGGCGTAGGACGAGGACGTCCTGCGGTACCGTCTTTCTCGCGCGTGTGTATACACGCGCGCGCACACGCGCGCGATCGACAGAGCGAGCGAACGAGCGACGGGCGTAGAGGGAAGAATGAGCCGGCGTTGCACGCAACCTGTCTGTATCTTCGCGCCGTTCCCCGGTTCCCTGCGGGACGGGGGGCTATGGGGACACACACGGCTATCGGGAAAAGGCATCGACACTTCACACTCGTTACTGCAGTCGGCAAAAAATATCGATGTGCGTATTAGCATCGGGGAAAGGAAAGTATTGCTCTGCGAGCACAGCGACGTCGATGGCAGTGCGGGCGGAGGAAATGGTCTTGTTTACGCTCTCTCTCTCTTCTTCTCCACCGTCTGTATCTTTCTCTCTCGCGTGAATTTTTAATACTATCCTCTCTCCTTCGTCTCTCCGTATTCTGCTTGTTTAACCTTGCAAGGGCTACCATTTTCCAACCGGCACTGAAGTCCATTGCGGTCGGTCGGACTGTGATATCTTTCTCGTGTTTTCTGTTATTCTTCTCTCTCTCTCTCTCTCTCTCTCTCTAATAGTGGAGAAAAGTTAGGATAAAGTTACACGACAGACATCAGGCCAATTTATGGTCACAATATTATGTCTCCCTCGAAAGTGCACAACCTTTGTCTGAGATATTTTTTTCTAAAGTGTGATGTTTCTGAGATATTTAGGAGTTTTAGTATATTTTCCGCATCTTGTAGTTACATTAAAAGTTCTTTGAATTTTCCTTACTTTAATCACTGCACGTCTCCAAGACGCGGGATTAGGAACCTAAGCTCCGAGTAATGGGTTAATATTCCAGGGTTAATCCTGGAATTGATGCTAGGATTGAACTCCTCCCCCCTCCCCTCTATGAAACCTTCAATTTTACGAGCTTATTTTATTACGTTAAGACTGATAATTTTGGACGCACTGTTATATTTTTATATGTGAGGTTATACATAAAACATGTCATTAGCATCCTGCATGTCCATTCGTGAGTATGAAAATCATGTATCTGACCCAGGATTAATAATTAGTTCTGAGTTGGGGAATCAAATGTGTAAACATCGGACATTCGCGTCGGGTCAACTCAAGATGTGACGACTACGCACTCGTGATGTATCACAAACGTTAAACTTACTTAACAATCAATTCTCGATCAAAAAATCTACACACAAACCGAATCGAGCGTTCGTGTCAGACTTCTCAATTCGGGACGCGACTTCGCACGCGTGATGTCACCAACACCGACGAAACTCGACGATCTCGATATCTCGAATGAAATTCTATTCGACATTACACAACGCCTTCGACATTGGCAATTTCGAAATTTTTCAATCCGCTACGCAATCGCGCGAAACCGGAGGAGAGCTTCCGCGCGCGCATATCAGAGTTCCTTCTTCTCGTCCTTTTCCGTACGCCTTGAAAAGACGCGTGGGGCGACATGAGAGAGAAAGAGAGAGAGAGAGGAACACGGAGCAGCGGGTACGTCCAAACTAGTTCGAGCGTATAGCGCGCGTTACGTGAATCGCGGACGGTCCTCGACGTCCCTCTCGATGGCCGTCTTTACCAGCCGTCTCCATCTCGCTCGCTCGCTCGCACGCTCAAGAGAGAGAGAAAGAGAAAGAGATCGCATTTAAGAGAGGGAGAAACGCATCTCACACGAAACGACTATTCCGAGTGCGGAGGATGCACACGTAGCTCTCTCTCTCTTTCCCTCCCTCCCTCGTTCTCACGCATACACGGCGTATACCAGGTGTAGAAGTTTGAAACCGGAATTTTTTTGTAAAAATTACACGTCTATTGTTTGAAAATGATAAAAAATATTTTATTCAAAATAATGTCCATTGCTATTTATACATTTTTCCCACCTCTCCGGCAGTTTATGAATGCCACGCCAAAAAAACATTCCTTCTTTTGAAGCGAACCAGCTATCGAACCATTTTCGTACATTTTCATACGAATTGAAGCGTTGTTCAGCGAGAGCGTGACGAAAACGGAGCGGACGAAGAGAGAAAGACAAAGACAGGACAAGCGAGGAAGAGACACAGATAGACACACGGGAGGAATAAGATGGAGAGGGAGAGCCGGTATGCACGACTTTGCGACTCGATTGCCGAACTTGCGAACGAAGAACCGCGAAGAACCGGTCTTCCTCCCTTTCCTTTTTTCCTGTCCCTCGCGCTATGTCGCGGAGATGCGACGCAGACTTCTCCGGAATAACGCGAACGACCAGCCGACCGACGATATTCGGAGCATCCACCCCGGCGCGCCGCTCGTAAAAAGGTCTCGATCAATTTTTAAGTGGCCGCCGAACTGGCACTCACCCTCTCTCTCTCTCTCTCTCGCTTCCGCTGCCGTTTTCTCCCCGTTCTCTAGCAGCGCCGATCCTCCCCCGTGCCTTCCTCAGAAACCGACAAACAACGTTCACCCGCTCGCTCGCTCGTTTTCTCCGTCTCGAGAAGATATTCTCCCGATCTCTCTCGCGGATCTCGCGTCGTCGAAAAAGGGCGAGCGAAGAAGGGAGGGGAAATGCGCTCCGCGTATACGACGTCCTGCTCAATAAGCCTCGCTGATTCATGCCCGTTCGGCCGACAAGCGACTTTCGACCTGATCGATGGGGACTCGAAATAGTTTGTAACTCGGTGGCCACGCTCGCCTCTGTGGTTTCGACTTCGCCGAATATATTCGCGCTCGCGTCTCGCCTTAAGTCGCACCGCTCCGTTTTGCTCCCGCTCGAGGAAGCGAGCATTAATTCATATTAAGTGTCACTTAATCGGGAACTTCGGAACGGAAATAAACGTCGGAGCCTCCCTGCGCGCACCGCCGCCACCACTCAGCCCTTTTCACGCCCCTTTTCGCCCTTTCGCTTCGGATATTCGCAGCGCGATACGAAAGAGACGGATCGCGTTCTCTTAATTGATGCATAGGTGAGAGGAAGGAGAGAGATCCGCGCTCTATCCGAAGGATAGATTTCTTTCTCGTGGAAATTGTGAATTATTATTGCCGCGGGGAAAATTTGTAGATGTGGCTGTGCGTGCGTGCGTGCGTGCGAGCGCGTGAGAGAAAGAGATAGAGAAAGAGAAGAAGAGAAATCGCGCGCGCGGCTTTCCTCCTCCGTCTCTCGTAATGGGCGAAACGTGACTCAAAGCGAGGATATTTAATCCGTCTAACGATATTTTATAGTTCAACGCCTCGCGTTGGTGAATTGCGAAGCTTCCGTCCGGGAAATAGTACAAGTGTCAAGCTGAAACGCTCGAAAAACAGGAAACAAGCTCTTCTGCCACGGTAGAAGCTCCTTCTCTCTCTCTCTCTCTTTCTCTTTCTCCTCTTTTGCCAGCGTTTCCGCGATAAATTACACCTCTAACTGCATAATAACATAAACGTGAGAGCGTGTTAAAGTAGTTGATCCGTAAAAACATTTTCTTAGAAATCCTTTTAAATATTTTAACCGCATACTTTGATGGAAATGTCTACGTGGGGAAAAAGGTTTGGCTGAATTAACGTAACGATGAACGAGTGAAATACATTTTGATTGAAGATAACAGAAGAGTCTCCCCCCTCCCCCAAAAAAAGGTTTTTCTCCACAAATTGCGGGAGAAAACCCTATTTTTCTGGGAGAAATCTTTATTTCTCTATGTATCGATACTGTATCGCCCAACTCTACGATGATGTTTTTCTTCCGGCGAACTTCGAGCTTTCGAAAGCTCGGTTGGCTTGGGAGTTCTATTCCGTAATAAAATATTAATAAACATTCGCGCGGAGTAGCGAGCGAACTCTCGTGTCCGACGCGCTACGCAACGAGGAGACGCACTGTCGTCGTGTTCGTCGATGCGAACGCAACTTATCTCGCGGACGACCCCTTCCCCCTTTATGAACCCCTCCTCCCTTCCACATCCCCCCACGAAGTCTCGCCGGAAAAAGATCAAACGTTTCCTCGAACTGCAATTAATTTGTCGCTCCATTACACGGGGGGAGGGGGGGCGAGTCTTCTTGGCAAGTCACGTTTAATTAAAATTGTTATAACGGGCGATCGCGGCGGGTCGTTATAGCTCCGATATAATAGGTGCCGCGGATATCCGACCCGAGTTTTCCCCCCGGGGCAAAAATATACGCCGTCTTACTCGTACTTACTCCTCAGCGCCGTCTATGAGAAACGGAGAAACGGAGCTGTTATTTCTCGAGCAAGTGGCAGCACACGTTCGCTTCGTTATCGCAATCGATGTTGGAACGGTCGTACGGTATTAGAAACGATCGTCGGTCGGAATCGTAGGTGTATCTTCGTATTTTCGAAATGAAAGCTCGCGTTACGCGAAGCATCTCTCTCTCTCTCTCTCTCTCTCTCTCTTTTAAACGACTTCAAGATGAATTTCGTGGATGAGCTAATATACACGCGTAGAGACGTTACCATTTGTTATTTCCAGGTCTGTGTTTACTTCTCGTAATGATAAATTTACTTGCTTCATCATAATTTTCTTTATTTCTTTCATTAACGAGCGCGAGTCATTTGCGGCTCAATTTTGCATATCCCCTCGACTAAAATAAAGACCAGCCGTGAGGTTCTGCACCCGAGCGTCAATACCATTTATTACACCGTTTCCTTCCGGAGTGGCGCTTTCCCTATTTCCTTCCACTTTGTTACGTTCCACCCCACAACTTTCTCGCACACTCGTAGCTCCGTAGATCGACAGATCGAACACTCGAAGCTACGTTCGCCGTACGCGTCGCGTGAGCGGCGAATTTGAGAATTCCTACGAGACGATGTCGACGGGAGATTTATGCGATGGACTGGGGGAAAGCGAGAGAAG